ATTCTATTTTGTCTGTCTTGTATATTCTCTCAATTGTACTTAGGATCAATTATAAGAATCAACAAAGATATTTTATGAGCAAATGCAAGATATTTTAGGAACAGGTGCTTTAAAATGCCAAGGGAGACCCCAACCTCAGGACAAAAATAACTAAAAAAAAAGTCACAATATTTTGGAGAATCAGATCTCCATTATCCTAGACATGTGAGTTCCAAGAGGAGAAACTTCACCTCCTTTTATGTTGGGATTTGTAGCTCCTATCCAAAGTGGAGATACTATTTTACATATCTGATCCAAAATTCTTAAGATAAATACTAAGTCTCAGAACGAGATTTTTATGAGATAAAATGCACACGGAGAAAACGGCAGCAAAAAAAAAATCATTTAACTTGTACTCTCTTTACATTTTACTGCTTAACCAATGCTGGTACCAAAGAGAAAAGAAGTCCAGCGTCATTACAGCCACGATCCCAGCAGGAGCATGAATAAAACAAATAAAGGAGCCACAAACAAAAGGCCTGTTTACCCTGGGAGTAATTGCTCAAAGTGTTCCAAGGGCGGCAGGCCAAATGAAAGGACACACTGAGAATCCAAAAGCTTAAAACAACATTTTCCCACAATTACTGGCTTTTCTCCACACCTCTCCAATCCTTCCACCCAAGTTACAGTTGAATTATTACATCTAAATTAGTCATTAGTTTCCCTGTGCATTACAAAATACTGTGGCAAAAATAACAGGCAAAAGGCTTGCAAAATGCATCCCGACACTTTTAGAGTAGGGACAGCAAGAGGCTCCAGCAACCGCCATCTTGCTTGAACCTGGACCAATCCCTCAATATCTCTGGATATAGTTTCCATATTTGTAAAATGAGTTTTTAAAATACCTGATTAAATAAACAGTATAAGCAGCTTTTGATACATTTTACTAGCATACATTTCTTATACAAACTACCTGTTCATATTTTTGCCTGTTAAATTTGCATATTTTTGCCTTTCTGTTAGCTTGTTCTATTCATTTAGAGGGGTTCTTTATATATTCTGTATACTTTGTCAGACAAATGCCAATACTTCCATGTATGTGGACTCTTCTGCAAATGGCCTTTTTGCCCAGTCACTTATTATGCCATTTCTTTTCTTCATTATCACTTGGGAAAGCTAGGGAGATGCTGATCATTTTTCTCTTATTGGGCTGCTTGTTTCTGCCAATCTGTGCCTTGATTTTGCATTTTACAATTAAGTATTTTATTTTTTAATTAGATGATATATACACATATAATTCTCCACAAGATGTATGATAACCTAAACATCTGAAACATACTAAAATATGAGATATAAATATAATAATCAATGATAATAATGATAGTACCCACCCTAACTACCTCATAGTTTGCATCAGCTGAATTATGTAACAATGTTATCACACAAACTATAACACCTCAACCACAATAGAAAATCTCTCACAGAAAAGTCACAACTCTACCTCTAAATAAGACATCTGAAAAATGTCTCATTCACAAGTAATCAAAATTCTCATTTAATTAATAACAATCGGGAAGTTCTCAGGAACCACCTCCAACCTTAATTTATGGCCCCCCAATGGAAGATCTGTTCTACCCAGGGATTCCCTATCAGAGCTCCCTGCATAAAAACGTCAGTTCTAATGGATTACACCCTTAATCCTACTATTTCACAATGTGAGAGGGAAGCTCTAAGAGCCTATGCTAAATTATCTGCTGAAAATGACATTACTTTCTAGGTTGACCTGCAGAGCACTTCACAAATAGACTCTCAGGACTTACTGTTCATTATTAAGAATAAGAAAATGTCTGCCCTTCATTATAATATATTTCATCAGCCTCACACTTTTATGTGTACTTAGTAACATTTTATGCAGTTCCCTACATAATTTACATCTCCCTCATTTACACAATCCCCTTTAATAATGTGACCCAGATTAACACAGACCTAAAGACTAGAACTGCAATGACTTAAAAAGATTTCACATATAACTTCAAAAATGTCTAATTTTTACACACTGGCCCCTAAAGATAACTTAAGGGCAGAGTGTGATAAGCAGAATAATGGTGCCAGAAAGATATCCATGTCCTAATACCCAGACTCTGGAAATGCTACCTTACACGGCAGAGGAAGCTTTGCAGATATGCTAAGGTTAGGGACATTGAGATTGGGAGATTATCCTGAATCATCCAGTAGAAATCAATCTAATCACAAGAGTCCTTACAAAAAGGAAGGAGGAGACAGAAGAGAAGGTCAGAGAAATGGAACATGAAAAGGATGTGACCTACCATCTCTGGTTTTGAATATAGAGAAGGGGACCACAAGGCAAAGGAAAGCAGGAAAAGGCAAGTGAACAAATTCTCCCATTGATCCTCCGGACGGAGCACAGCCCTGCTCACACCTTGGCGTTACCCCAATGAAACCCACATTGAACTTGTAGCCTAAACAACCACAATGAACAATGACGGATTTATGCTGCGGTAAGTGGTTGTGGCAGCAACAGAGGAGCAGCACGAAGAGCACACCCAGCCTGTCTGCAGGAAAACAGACTGAGCGCACTGGAACCCAGCTCCCGGTATGAAAGCACAGCTACACTGCTTGTCAGCTGAGTCAGTTAAACCAGTTATTCACCCTCCCTAAGCCTCCGTGCGCTCATCTGTAAAATCAGACTAATTGAAGGGTAAGTCTTCACACTTAATGTCTTTGGCAGTTCTGCGACTTCAACTGAAACAATGTACACAGAACTAGTTAGGTCCTTACGGCATTTCACAACGTTACAACAAAACCTTATTCAAAGACCTGCTACATTACTTACCTTAAAAGACTATTGAAGAACTAAATGAGTTAATGCATATAAAGCACTTAAAATACTTTCAGAGATAGAGGCACTAAACACATCTTAATATCCACTATTATTGATTTTAATCCACGATAATTTACCTTCTTTTTCAATCACCCACAGAAAAATCACGAGATCAACAGTCTTCAAAATAGTCAAGAAATGAGGCCTTCTAAAAATTACGGTTTGTACACGTATCTACAAGTATTCTGCGTAATGGTCCCGGCTCCACTGAACTAGCATGCACAGTTCTTGAAGAGTCACTCCCGACCATTAAGGAGGAGACGGAGAAGGCCCAGGTGTCCACATAAGCTCCACCAAGTGATAAAGGCTAACGGCAGGGCCTGATCGAAGAAGTGCCCGTCACAAAGTAAGAGTTTGTCTTGTTAAAAATAACAGATGTTGCAACATTAAGCTTGTACTGAAATTCTCCATAATTGACATCTTCAGTTTATTTGGTATCTATACAGTACTTTTCATTTGCAAAACGCCTGCCCTATCATTTCTTCGTAAGCAATTACACTTCTCTCTCACGTGGCTCCCGACTGGGCAGCACTGACATAAACTGACATAACCTAGCTAAGCAGTGATAACACTATAAAAACACAAAGACACAACCACTGATAATTCCCACAAAAATTAGAGGCAATACAAATCAAATGTACAGAAATATTTTCCGTTTCGTAATTCCACACACTGCAACAGCCCAAAGCAGTGCCCAAACTCAAAGAATGGCAACACTAGATCAGGAAGAGAAGGAAAACAAAACCTTTTAACAGAGACTGAGTAAACACCTTTGTCAAGTATCAAAGTAAAAATCAGTGTTCCAGGTCTTTCCAAAAAAATCAGTAAATAAGCAGACTTTCAGAAAAATCTTATGATTTCTATAGTAAAAGCAATAAACTTCAAGGTTCTAAGCCTAAATAACCCTAAATTTAATTAAATGATGTTTTTAAAAGGTAATTAAACACGCCCCAATAAAAATATGTTGTTAAGCTATCCTCCCAAAAAGCACTTTCAGTAAGTTGTACAGAATGTATTGATTGAATCCAAATAATTTTTCTGCCTTTTCTGTATTTTCATTATTTCAAGCTCTATAGGACTCCAGAACTAATTAGAACCATAAAACCCAATTTTTATCTGAAAAGCCAGTGATAACTGACATTATATTTGGTTAAGCGGCGTGGAGGGAGGAGTCAAAGGCAGGTGCCCTCAGGGCGGCCCACACCCTTGCACCCACTGAGTTCGGCACAGCAGAGAGAGCAGCTCTGGGCGAGGCCGGGAGCTCTCAGAGCCCAGATTCAAAGTGTACTCTCCCTCCCCCAACATTAAATATAAGCCAAAATGGCTCTCCTTTATCTCATGCAACAGAGTATTAGGCAGCCCAAGAGGAAACAGGGTTAGTTTGAGGACGTGTTCTCATACTGCAGTGTGTGTGTGTGTGTGTATGTGTGTGTGTGTACAAGTGTGAGTATACCAGTGTGTGCATCAGGCACATACAAAGTGAAGTGGCCACGGGACGACACAGGAGCCAGGCTACAGAACAGGGCTCACACACTCCAAGGCACTCAGGGGCCGCACAGGGAGAGCAACACATGAAGCAGCTCGGTCAGCGCTAACAGGGGCAGTCCTGGCCGGGAGGCTCCGTTGGTTAGAGCGGCCTCCCCATACTCGAAGGTTGTGGGTTTGATCTCCAGTCATGGAAGGTACAAGAATCAACCAATGAAGGCATAAATAAGTGGAACAACAAATTGATGTTTCTCTCTCTCTCCCTCACTCCCTCTAAAAATAAAAAGCTAACAGGAGCAGTAGAGGTTATACCAAAAAGGATAATACACACCCCACCAAAAAACACTCAAACTCAACTTCAGAAAAACAAACAACGCCAGTCAAATAAAACACATCCACAACTGAATTCAGAGGGTGGGCCAGATGCAGCTGCCAGTTTCCAACCAGGACAAACGCCAGCAGGCCCAGGCAGTTATCTTAAAACCTTACTCCCTCTAAGGAAGGCAAAGGGCTCATCAGAGGACCCAAGACACTAACCTCAGCCTCCTCCAGGACCCCAGGCGTCCCTAGGTCTTTGCCGAGAAGCGGCAATATTCCAAAAAGAAGTGTAGTGGCTGGAGAACTAAATACTTACCACTTGAGCTTCCAGGAGTCGAATACTGAGAAGTATCAAGAAACTTTCGAGGAGGAGGAAGGTTTGTAACATCAATCAGAGGAACAGGAGGTGCATCTTTCACGAGGGCACTGCAGGGAAAAGAGCAGCAGTTACTCCCCGCTTTCTCCCAGAGCTGGGAAGTCCCACCACGTGCCCGTCCCTTGTCACTCTGTCTCTGTTATGAGCCCTCTTTCCACTGTGACTCCAAATATCTCCCAAGCATATTTCCCGTGAAGTGGTGATTGTCACAGGCAGGGATAACGGTGTTATTCTAAGGTTTCCAAGTATGTAAATATTCAGTCTTTTCATTCCCATGCAAGGTTAAAAAAAAATTGATGTGTGTGTTCTGGATCACCTGGATGCCACCTTAGAACCAAATTACACTGTGCAACTTCAGTGCCCTCCTTTGTTACTGCATAAAAATTAATTTGTCTGCAGAGAAAGAGCAAATGACACCACATCATAATAACCAGGTGAAGGTTTATCTAGCTAAGTCTACTTGAATTTGTGTTTTTCAAGTTAAAGTTTTTCGACATATTCTGAGTTCATGGCATTTAGTCTTCCTTAAAAGAGGGTTGTGTATTTCATCAAGTTGAGAATCACTACAATAAAAGATGATTTCAGGAATCTCAAGCAGGTTAATTCAGTATTTATCACCTTTTTCAAAAAGGCCTAGCCCCTCATCTTAATGATTAACTTTATAATCTCCAGACTAACTACATAAATTTTTATAAAGGCTATAAAAAAGTTAAACTTTCAAGTTAACTCCCAGTCATAGGCATCTGTTCAGTGCAAGAATACAGGCAATGCCAAGGCAAACAACACCTGCAGCCCACCTCCCAGAAACTGAAGCTTCACACTGCATCTACTACAGAAAAGCTTCTCTAAGTCTCACGGGTAGACAGTCAGAACCAAAAAATATCCTCATCTCCCCTTTCCAGTCCCGACACACATCCTCTGCAGCAGCTGCTACCCTTAGAAATGATCCCCATAATGAGTTACAGGGGCAGAGGGGAGCAGGCATGAGGCCACACCCGCAGGAAGACTTTCTCCAAATGGAATGAGAGGGTGTATGCAACTCTGAACATCCCACCCCCTCCCTCGCCACAGTGAGATAGCCCCATCTCCCTCCCACGCTACTTTTGGAATGGAAGTGCGAGGTAAGTGTGTATTTGTAAGCTAGTTAAAAATAAGCATATTCTTTCAGAAAACTTTGAAAAACAAACTTTATGTTAAAGGGCAAAATTAACATTTAAGCTATTTTCATCCAGGGCTGGTAATGTGTGACCCTTTGTCCTAGGCCATAAGGATAACTCTGACAGTCATTAACTTCTCCCTTTTCACTAAATACAGAAAAGAGGGAATCATTACTCAAGTCTTAAGCATCTGTTAAGTGCCTGGCATCACGCCCCCTCACTGAGGATCCAACTATGACTAAGATAGGAGCTAAACCAAACTTAGCACATTTCCAATTGTTGGAATCACTGGCACACTAATGTGAAACAACCTCATGTGAAGAATAACATATATAAAAGCACAAACAGCACTTACCAAGAACTGAACTGATACAGTTCCAGGAACTCTTCTCCTCTCAAATATAGCTAGAACTTCCTACTCACCTAAAATATCTTAAGGAAATACAACAGAGCTTTCAAATGCACTCGTTTATCACAACCGTCTGTCTATCACTTTAATGGACAAATCCATTAGATCACACATTCATCCATTTATCCTTCACATATTGACTACCATTGTCTTCTCATTTTTCTTTTCAGCTTCCTCATGCTTTTTACCTGCATTTTACTCACAACTGGAAAACCATCTCCACACGCCTCTCTAGCCCCTAGATACATATCCCGAGGGATATGATGTTTGATAGTGCTGTTGAGTAAATAAAAAAAGTTCATTTCAATTTTAAATAAGAAAAATACATATTTTACAAATATTTCCATAACAAACATGGAGAAATATCTTTAAAGCACTGGCAAATGAAAGCATCACTGTTAAATGAAAGTATCGGTTAGCAGGGAAGTTCAGGCACACAGCTGGCATGCCGCCTGTCAGGCCTGCACATGAAGCATTGAAGTCGGTAGATATGTCTGATTACACACATATATGAGTATAACACACACTTCTGTGAACACAGATGTGCACATGGTCCACTTGAGATCAAAACCTACCATCTTCTCAGTTTTTAGCTAAAAATACATTTTAGTTAAATATATAGGGCGGTAAATGGCTTGCCATTTTAACTTTGAAAAAAATAACCTGCTGACTTATCAGCAGAGCCAGAGGGCCCTCGAACTCCGTCAATAAACTTTCAGAAAGTCGATTTACTGCAAAACTATTTTCATAGACTCATCTCTCTTTCTAAAATTTTCCCTTGGGCTTCAATTTTCTCCTTTCGTGAACACTAACCCAAAGGCAAGTCACTCTGCAAATGACTTTTCGTTTTTCCCTTGTTCTTTTATGGAAGGACTTAATCTCAAGAGTTCAAGAGAACTCTTAATTTAGTTACTACAGACAAGGAGCTCAACAGACAGGCAGGTGCCATTATAGAGCATCACACTTAAATAGCAGGAACATGCCTCGGTTTCTACTTCGGACAATAGGAAAAAGCCTATTCTCATCATACGCCGGAGATAAAGTTCAGAAAGTATTGATTAATTAATTCATTAATCAATCAGTAACTTCAAAGGGTTTTGAATCTCTCAGAGGAAGTATTCTCACAAACAAAAAAAAATCAAAATTGGACTATTCAAGTTTCTAATTAATATGAAAGATCTGAACTGCCTTATTTTGAAACAAAATATTGATAGGAGTTATTTTTCTTTTTAAATACATTTGATTACAGATTTTTATTTGAAAATATATTGAGAATCATTCATAGCTGAGTTTTTCAGGACAACCATTGAACATAAGACTGTCTCCCGAAAACTACTAATTGCACACGGTGATCAAACAGGATCTGCTGTTGACAAACCACGCGGTGGCACACAGCAAAACTAGGAAACCAACGAAACTCTTCCAAAAAACCAACTCCTACCATCACAGCCCCGAGAACTCTCTGCCCGTGAACCATCCATCCAATTAGTAAGGAGCTGCTTCTAAATGTGTTTGATTTCAATATTTCAAACCATGAAATGTTTAGGTTTGTTTAGTTTTTTTAAAGAAGGATTAGAAGTATGAACAGCTTATTAAACATTTGCTTTTTAATTAGAACTTATTTCCATTCCTTTCTTAGTAATAAGTAAGTCCAACTATGTCCAAAATTTACAACAACCATCCATTTGGTTGATTTTGTTATCAAAGTAAAACTTGGCAGAGGTGAGCTGAACTCTAAGTTGTAAATCTACTGACTAATATACTCACCTCTGTAACCCCAACAGCTGGCACAGTACCTGCCAAAGGTCAAGTGCTCATAAAAGTTTATTGAATCAAACTGAGCTGAGAAATATCTGCCAAGGATAATATGCCCTTAGGAAGAAAATTTAACAAGAATGAAACAGAAATGGCTGGCACAGTAATTTTGGAAGAAAATTTAACTGAAGAATGAAACAGGAATGGCTGGCACAGTAATTTTCTATAGTCTCATGATCAGCTAGAACATAAAGAAAAAATAATGAATGATTCAGAGAGTATAAAAGTCAAAAACAATCATGATCTCAAATGATAGAGCAAGAATTAAAGACATGTAATACAAAATAAAGTGAAGCTAAAATCTAAAAAGAAAGGAAGAAAAACTGAAAGAGAAAGAAAACTGGCATAGGAAAAAAATTAAAAGACAAAACAGTTAGGCAGCATATAATACAATGGGGTCAAGGTCGCTCTTTACATTCCCAGAGACAAATATGGCAACAAAACCCACGAGTCTGAAATTTTCTCCTCCTCTAACTACAGTGACCAAGAAAGCAAGGTTAATCAAGTATTAACCCAGGATGCATGCAATAAATAAAAGGATTGACTATTTTTAAAAATAACTTTTTATTGATTTTACTAGCTTATATGAGGACCCCCCAAAAAGGAATTCATTTATAATAACATTGTGTATTTATTCATACATGTTTAAACTTCAGTCACCTTGAAAGTATTCTGCATTTGACTCAATACACCTATTGAGACATTTTTTCCTCTGCTCAACAGTTTTTGAACATGTCGATTTTGGTGCCTTTTAGTGCCTCTGCCTTTTTTTTTGTTTCACCTCTTCCACATCAGCAAAACGTTTCCCTTTGAGGACTTTTCTCATGCGGAGATACAAAAAATGTTGCTCAGGGCAAGATGGGGTGAATAGGTAGAGTGGGGCATGAGGGCCCCAAAAACTGCTTAACACTCAGCGCAGTGTGGGCAGGTGCACTCATAAATCGCTCATCATGAAACAGGCAAAAGCTCTGAAAGAGTCTTCAAAAAGTTCACTCAAGACAAACGCAGCCTCTCACAGCAATGCCAGCTGGTACACTGATACAGATGGGTTCCTGGAACACGCACCTAGCAGGGAGAGGGAATAATTCTGTTTTTCGGGGGGGTCACCCCTCGTAAAGGTAGTAAGGGTTCTTTTTAGAAAATACACAAAAAAATTCTACTAATACAATTTTGGTGTCAGGCCCTTCCAAAACCCTGAACAGAACGAAGCCTCTGCCTGCCCACTCATCCCTCCCCTCCCCCCGCCGCACACACACAAACTGTACACATTCTCTTTTTTCAACATGCTTTGGACGATCCTGTATAGAATTTTAAATCCTACTTTTCCCTTCATCAGTAAACATTTTGCCACTTCATTAAAAATGATTCAAAAGCATCATCAATAACTATTATTTTAAAGTAATAATAACTCACGTACATGCTCATGATGCGTATATTCGCAAGGCAGAGGGTATGCAATGAGTCCTTCTTGCCTAAACCCCATTCCCCGTTTTTATCTCCCACAGGTAATTCCTTTTAATAAGTCAGGGTTTCAGCATTATCCTTTCAGGGATTGCCTACACACATGCATTTACATCTATATATTCAGGGGCGTCCAACCTTTCAGCATCCCCGAGCCACACTAGAAGACGAGGAGTTGTCTTGGGCCACACAGCAACCACATTGCGACACATAATCACAAAAAAATCTCACACTGTTTTAAGCAAATTTACAATTGTGTGTTGGGCCGCATTCACAGCCATCCTGGGCTGCACGTGGCCTACGGGCCGCAAGTTGGACACCCCTGAAAGGATACAGATTTAAATACATATCATTCCAATTCCTTTCTACTTCAAAAATATAGTTCTTTATATGCGTGTGCTTTCACGTGATTTCTTTTCTCCCGCAGTAGAAACTTGCTGTTGGGTGTTTGTGTGTTTGTTTTGGATACCAACAGTCAAATCAGTCTTTGTATTTGGAGAGACTCTCCGCAGTCCGGGTCAAAGCTAAAAAGAAAAAGGACATGACTTCGTTTGATAACAGTTGAAGGAGGCCAGACACGTCCCAGGCTCGACAAACTGAAGGCTTCCAGCCAGGACTTTGAATCTTGAGGACAGAAAGAAAAGATGGAGGGACATTTAGAGAACATTTTGACCTGAGAGTCAAAATCCCAGCAAGGCAGGCATGGTGCCAGCAGGGCCGCCACCCAGCCAGACAGGCCCCTCCCGGGGCTGGACTGTCATGCTCTGTGCTCAGCGGCTTCATCGCCCTTGGTCCCTCCTGGGTTTTAGAGCTGACCACACAGACCTCCTTCTCTCAGATTCTGTGACCTACCCGATAACTTTCCACTAACTTCCTGTCCTTGTCTTACTTTCCAGGACAGATTTCTACTATTGGCAATCAAGAGCACTGGCCAATACATCATCCTTTGCAGTAGACAATATATTTGCTGTTTTCCCTAGTGATTTTTCAATATAGAAATCTTTAAATACACATATCTAGGTTAGCATACACAAATTTAAATGAATTAAACATTTTCCTCTAATTATTAAAATCCAAAATAAAACAACTTCTGATTCAATTAAGAATCCAGCATTCCTTTCTATCTCCTGTTTCTCTAAATTTCCCAGTCTCTACTAACAATGCTGAGATATACAATAAATCCTGTTTATTATTATGTAGTATTCTTTGACTACATGTACCTTCTTTTTCTTTTATCATGTATTTATTTTTATTGAAATATATGTGACATACAACACTGTATAAATTTAATATGTACATGTTAATTTGAAACATCTATATATTGTAACATGACTGCCATTGCAGTGATAATTAGCACTGTACTTTTTAAAGAAATAGCACAAAAAAATCAGATTTGTATGGAACCACAAAAGACAACAGCCAAAGCAATCCTGAGACAAGAACAAAGCCAGACGTGTCACAAATTACACTACAGAGCAACAATAGTCAAAACAGCAAGGTAATGGCAGAAAAACAGACACACAGGCCAATAGAACAGAACTGACAGCCAGAAATAAGTCTATATGTACATAGTCAAATAATTTTGGGCAAAGGAGCCAAAATTACACAATGGAGAAAAGAAAGCTTCTTCAATACATGGTGCTGGGAAAAATGGAAAGCCACATGCAAAAGAATGAACTAGACTGCTATCAGATCTTTTCAAAAATAATTTGCAGCTAATACTTTTGATCTTGTAAAAATCAATGTGTCAATTATTTAATGTAAACTTTGATATTTACTGGTATGCAGGCTTTGCAGAGGCTATAAACTACCTACAACTTGATTGTTCTCAAGTTGCTGAATTTGATTTATACCTCAGAGTTTATGATTGAGTACTCTTCTCAGAAAATAAGAGTGATTTTTTGTTGTTAATTTATATCTGAGAATGTCTCTCTGCCACTCACGCACATCAGTGTCCACCTGGCTGGGTACAGAAATCTGTGGTCCAACTCTCCCCCAGTCAACACCTTGTCAACTCTGTGCTCTGCCGTACTCTGGCACCTCCCCGTCAGCAGACTCTGATTTTCCCTTCTTTCTACGGATCAGGGCTAGGTTAACGGTATAAAACAGAAGACCCAAGTAGCCGAGGCCTGAGTAAAACAAAGGTTTTCCTTCTTGTCACATAAAAGATGTAACTATTCAGGGCTATTAACAGAGGATCCATGTCATTAAAGAAATTAATTAAAGTGTGGCTTCCATCCTGAAGGCTCCCTCACGTCTAAGATGGACTGATGGCACCAGTCCAGTTCTACATGAGAAGCAAAGGAAGGCAAGTGAGGGGTAAAAGAGTAAGCATACCAATTTAGTTGGCACCTTGTAAACTTTTCCTATGAGCTCGATGCAGCAGCTTGCAAGCAGAAGTCGCACTAATTACCGTTAGCTTTATAGGAAGCTAGGAAACGTCACCCTGTAGCTGGGCATACAGCCACCAAGAACAAAATAAGGTTTTTGTTAAAAATGAAGAAGGGGATAATAAATATTGGATGGGCAAATAACTATCACATCACCACAGATAACATAAATTTTCTCCCTGGTGCATACAGAATTTGTCTCTGAAATTCATAAAAATTTCTGGATCCTTATATAAGGGTAACGTTTTTCATTAATTTTACCTTGAAATCTTTTGATTTGCAGATCAAGGTCTTTTTTTTTCCTGTTTAAGTAGGTTTCTTCATTTACACTATAGGTATTGCTTCTGTTCTCTATTTGTTTGCTAGGGCTGCCATAACGAAATATCTCAGACTGGGTGGCTTAATGAACAGAAATTTATTTTTTCACAGTTCTGGAGGCTAGAGCCCAAGCTCGAGACAGTGGCAGGGCTGCTTTGTTCTGAGGCCTCTCTGCCTGGCTTGCAGAAGGTCGTCTCATCGTTGTTTCTCCACATGGTCTTCCCTCTGTGCAAGCTGTGTCCAGATTTCTTCTTATATGGACATCAGCTATATTCCATTAGCGCCCACCCCAGCGACCTCATTTTTAACTCATTTACTTCTTAAAAGACCCCACCACCACAGTTTCTGGTACTGAGAGTTAGAACTTCAACACAGAAATTTCAGGGGGAGACAATTCAGCCTGTAACATGACAATGTCAGTGTCATCCTTCAGAACACCTAAAACCACTGAACTGATCGCTCTTCTCCATCTTTCACACACATCATCTTTCCTTTGCCATCTCGTCTCTCCTTCTTCATAATGAGGAAGTTTTCCCTCCATATCACTGATTCATTCTTCTAATTCCTCTCTCTACAAATGAAGACTTCATTTCCCTACTTTATTCTGGTTTTCCTCATACTTTGTTCATGTTTTAGTTATTTCTTTTTGTATCTTTCCCATTTCCATTCTTATCGCTCCCTATTAACGTTTCACAGAAGCTACATGCCTGCTGCACACAACCACGAAATCTCAGTAACATTCAACAACGAGCGCAGATCCTGAGGGCCGGCTGGTCCAGGCTGGGCAGCTCGGCTGATCCTGGATGAGTTCCATGTGTCTCTCCCCCTCCCCCTGGGACCAGCGCCACCGTGGCAGTGGCAGGGGCACGAGAGAGCATGCTCACTGGCGCCAGCTCATTTCAGGCCCTTCTCTGTGCCATGTGCCAATCGGTTGGCAAAAGCAAGAGCCCATAAATCAAAGAGCAGAAAATACATTTTTCCCACTAAAGTGGGGGAGTGATAACTTTGAAAAATTATCTACTACATCACCTTTCATCTTTTGAGAAACCGTAAGCTCAGTCTCCTAAAGTTTTCCTGTTTTGCTGAATAAATTTTTTAAAATAAATGCTTTATAATTTTTTAATTATTTACTGATTTGAGAGAGAAAGACAGAAACATCAATTTCATGTTCCACTTAGTTATGCATTCTTGTGTGTACCCTGACTGGGGATCAAACCTGCAACCCTGGCATGTCAGGAGTATGCTCTAACCAGCTGAGCTACCAGGACAGCACTAAGTGATCTTTTCTGCGATCATTTTCTCAGGTAGTGCTCATTTTCTTGTATGCTGCAGACTATTTTCACAGGACCCAGAGTATTTTTTTAAATCCTTGCATGGGAAGAAATCTATTCAGACCCACTATTTACACCAGACACTGTGGACGGAAGTTCCTAAGCATGGCCCCCACCCACCTCTACTCTCCGCTCAAGTGCTGGCAGTTATTCTACTCATATCCAGTGTTGAAATTAAGTCTCAGGTACATAACCCTTAGCTCATCTTCTGTGCCGGCAGATTTTCCAGCGCCCATATGCAGGAAAGAGACAGAAACCCCTCTTTCTCTGGCAGTGCCTCGGACTAAACCGCAGCTTCACACACAAAGTTGGCAATCTGTGTTTGAATAGGGCAGGGCTTTAAGGATTTCATCCCAGCATGCACTGCTTCCAGTGCTCCTCTTGTCCACAACTGAGGAGAAAGAATGGACAAGCAGACTGCCCTCTCAAAATACCTTATGGCTAGTCTAAAGGACTCCCAGAAGGACATGACATGCACAGCTCTCTGCCACATGCGAACAATGCCAACGTCCTGCTGTCTCAATTGTCTTAAGATCTGGTCTACTCCCGACCGGGTCTACACTAACCTAATGAATTTCCTGCGTGCACCCCAGGCCCTTCAATGCAGGACTCTCCTGAACTACTCCAGAAAGAGGACTGTCTAAAGCTGAAGACAACCCTAAGCAACAAAGAATCTTGTAACTTTAGTTCCTTTACCTACATTTCTTCATTAGGTTGACTCCACTATCCAACTTTAGGGTTTTTTCCTCTTCCTTCTGGGGTACACCAGAGTATCTTTGATCCAGTATATGAAAGGCCCACAGTAAATGTGTCTCATGTATCTTACCTTTACATAAAGGACTGTAAAAAGAGAAGTAAAATAAACTACAGTATTCTGGGGAACAAACACTATTCCCTAATCAAACACATGCACTGTAGCAAAGAGCCCCTTTCACCGACCTCATCCTCCCTTTGTCCGTGCTGCGCTGCCCTACTCGGCTGGTGGATTTGATGTACAGGTGCCGGTGCAGCTCATCTATGAGAACCAAGTGAAGATTCATCTTTTTGCTGTGAAGCTCCAGCCTAAGGTCACTCAGCCCTTCCACCTGGAGCAGGGGGCCCTCCAAAGACTCCACTGCTGACACCTGAAGAGGAGGAAAAAGATGCTTAAATACAAAAACTAAATCATCTAACAACATTACAAATATGAAAGACTATTTTTTTAAAATACTGTCAAAGGAGAGTTTACGAGAACCTGGGAGCATACATCAGACTCTGGAGTACAGTAGTCCCCTCATCTGTGTTTTCACGTTTGGCAATTTCAGTTACCTGGGTCCAACCAAGTCCAAACATGTTAAATGGAAATACCTTGGAAATAAACAAGCCACGAGTCTTAAACTGCGTGCCATCTGAGCAGCGAGCGTGACACGTCGTGCACCACCCAGGCCTCACGGGCCCAGGGCCTGGATCACCCCTGTGCACCGCGCGTCCACCCTGTGCACACGACCTTCCCCGCCAGTCACTCAGTGGCTGTCTCAGTCGTCAGACCGACGGCCATGGCATCACGGTGCTTGTGTTCAAGTTGCTCTTATTTTCCTTAATAAAGGCCCCAAAATGCAAGAGGAGTGATGCTGGTAATTTGAACATGCTGGAGACCTTTAATGCTTGCTTTAAGTGAAAAGGTAAAAACTCTCAGTAAGAGAAACAAATTGCATGCTGAGATTGCTAAAACCTATCTTCTCTCTGTGAAACTGCCTAATTTACAAATCAAACTTTGTAACAGGTGGATCTAAAGGCAGAAACAACAGTATGCAGAGGGGTCAGTACTATCCACGGGTTCACGCATCCACTGGGGGTTTTGAACATGTGCCCCGTGAAATAGGGGTGACCGTGGTATAAGGCACGCAGGCCTATTCTGCTTTGAAGGGCTTACCTACCACCTGAGATGCAGAACGCTGAAGCAAATGACCTTGATAAGACAAACAGGAAGGCACCTAAAGGACCACGGTGAAGGTGTATGTACGATCTATTCCACACACATGGCCTATTAACAGACACAAAAAATGACCCCCCCCAATTACATGAGTGTATCATTCATGTTCTCACAAGAACTCCATGCACTAAAGGTTTAAATCAACTCTCAGAGCTAGCCCTTAAGACTAACTAAAGCACACTGTAAGTTCTGCTGTTAATTCTCCTGGTGACCACGAATCAGAGCCTGGTTAGCCCAAGCCTACTGCGAGTCTGCACACAGTCAGGCCCTCTCCCACTCACACTCGCGTGCCCACGCACACGGAGGGGCCCACGCACACAGAGGGGCATGCAGTTTCTGCACAAACCACACACAGACAGCGGCAGTCACCCCCCCACTCAGCCTGACCCAGTCTGAGAGAAGAAATGGAATTTCAGCGGTGAGCGGGAGATAAACCGTGCAGAGGGAGACACCACTGGAGTAAGGTGCCCTTTGAAAGGTGTTAAGACAAAACAGACCAGATGAATAAAAACGGTGTGGGAAGGCCCACAACAAATGGACAGGACAGGGGTTTGGGGAACCTGGAGCAAGTCATTTTGAAACCACAGTGTATAGGTCTCAAAAAATAGCATGTATGACAGGATCCCATTTATCCATGTATATAAAACTATATTTATTTCTTTATCTATAAAGATCTTATGTATTTTTAATGAAAAAAAAAACTTACAGAGGATAGTCTAGGTACTGTTCCTTAGGAGAGAAAAAGGGGAAGGCGGAGTAACACAAGGACTGTAAGTGCAGTAACAACAACAGAGAAGGGATGACCACAGCCGAACTGGGGGGTGGGGGCAGCACTGCCAACTGCCAAGCTCCCTGAAGGGATTAACGTGCCGTGACTATTACCTGCTTAGGTTACACTTCTAAATATTCCTAGTGTGTACAAATAAAGGCAATAGTAATAATACTTACTTCAGGGTAAAAACATTAAATGCACTTATGCAAATGAACATGCCCCTAAAAAATGAAGCATTTCTACAAAAGCAATAGACAAAGAAAGCCACGAAACACACCGGTGGCACGTGCTGATCTGAGATCTACTCCAGTATACGCAGTCACGGCGGAGCTTGTGGGGGTGAGAACACACGGCTTGGGAGCTGCCCCGTGCAAGCTGGCCTGGGAGGCGGAGGAAAATGCAAAGGCTAACCCTCAACCATTTCACTCATTTTGTGACATGCTATAATCAAATGTCAGCAGCAAATAAGTTTCCTTAAGTTAACCAAGAAAGAATCAGGGACTGAAAGAGTGACAAGCCCTGGGCCAGCTCTGCCCTCTGAAGCCTGCCAGTTCATTTCCGTGCTGACTCGCAACCGCCCCCACTCGCCCGGGAGCCCTGGGCCTTGCGCGCGCTGCCAGCAATTCCAAATGGAAAGGCAGCCTCGCAAAATGACCAAAGTGTCCCCAAGGAGGAAAAACAACAACAAATTCATTCACACTTGTGCTCGAAAATGGATTTTAACTTGAGTCTCCAGCAGAGAAAAGAGGCTGCATTAACCTTCAGTGACATGGAGATCCAGAAAATGAAAAATAATTGGGTGAACCACCGGTCCACCATGTAGCCTTATCCCTTATGATGATTAAATCCAACTGTGATGTTTAAGCTTAAAAATCATCCACCGCGAGTCCACACTCGATTTGTGTGTAGGAATTTGCATGAAGCTTTTTAACCCAAATAGCTCAAGTTCCAAATACAAAATTATATGACAATGTCAACTTTCAAAGCCACCTAAGTAAAATTTTAAAACAGATTTTTAATTGTTATTTATTAATTTTAGAGAGGGGGGAAGCAGTGGGGGCTAGGGGAGGGAGAGCAGAGAGAGACAGACAGACAGACAGAAACATCCATTGGTTGTTCCACTCATTTCTGCATTCATTGGTTGATTCTTGTATGTGCCCTGCTTGGGGATAGAACCCACAACCTTGGCCTACTGAGACAATGCTCTAACCAACTAAATGACCTGGCCAGCGCTTAAACTCTTTTTTAAATATAGGTAAAACACTCAGCCCAGTGCCTGGCACATACTGAGTGCTCACTGAAATTATTTTTAACAAAACCTATTTATTCCATGGATAAAGAAATCTCAGAGGGTGTTTTCAACATGCCTCAATGTAACATTTTCAGTAAAGTGCTGTTTCCTTCATGGAACCATTATACCCATTTAGATCGGGGTCCCCACCCACCGGCTGCAGACCACCATGGGTCCAAGGCCTGTTAGAAGTGGGGCGTGAGCACAGCTCGCCTGCACTCAGCCTTCTGTCCACCCCCCTCCACAAAACCAGTCCCCCTGGTTCCAAAAAGATTGGGGACCACTGATTTAGATGACAAACTTTCTGAGTAACTTCTATTGACCCAAAATACAAGTACAATTAACACACACACACACACACACACACACACACGGTCTTAAGATTTCAAAGATTTGAAAACCTTCCCACAACAAGAATAGAGAACAGTATCTTATTTCTATATGAAAACACAGTGCTCTCTTTTGTCCTACTCTTGTTAAAAATCTATTTATAAAGGTATAATCATGGGAGTTAGGCAAGGCCGGTGTCTTCCCCTACTCTGACCTTACTACGTGGCACTCAAACAAACGTGAATAAACTAGTAGTTAATGCAACACTTAAGGTCTAGAACATCACTTTAGAAACCTGACATTTACCTTAGCTTGCTTTAAGCAGCCTATACCATCAAGTTTACTCATACAGAACTCGGTGAGGCAGCAGACCGTCACCCCAACCACCGTCGCTGATGGCCAATTCTGTCGCACTGGGCTGGGGAGGGGGCGTGGGATGGGGCCCGCCTTCTAGGCACACACTAACATTAAGGCTTCCCTAAAGGAGAAATCCATCTAATTTAGGAATTAGCATAACTACTAGTAAAAATACAACCAAAGAGATTTTTTTTAATGTAAGAAGAATGGTTATTTCCTAAATTATTTTACTGTTTTCCAAATTCAATGACTACTGTAGGCACACTTTTAAAATAGCATGGATGAAGCATCAACAGAACTTCAAGAGATGCGGTTAAGTAGACAAGCAGCAAAATGGTCTCACAGTTAGTGGCTATGAGAAATAATCAAAACTGGGTACATAAAGTGTGACTATTTGTGACATTAAACAATCTCACAAGTACACATATTAAAGCTGTAGGACAACACAGCAACAGAAAGGAGGTCAGGTAGACAACAGACAGTGGACCAGTTCACTGGAGGATGCCGCTGCTGCTACATGTCTACCCGCCAGTCACCTGTCATTCATCCACGCCCCACGTGACCTCTCTACGGCCTAGACTGCTCAGGTACCCCACACTACTTCCTACAGATTACTACAAGGAGATAATGAGCCAACGAGTGTATCTGGAATTTTTCTTACATGTATTTATAAAATTATTTGGGGGGGGGGGCGGGGAAGATACTATTTGTAGGGATTTTTTTCACAGAACACCAATTATTACCTAACAGAACACTAGTATTCTACTCAACACAACGGGAAACTGCTCAGACAGATAAATAAATCTGTTTTGGAATAAAAACAAGTGTTTACTCTAGGGTTATGAAAATAAGCAAACATTTACAAAAATGTTTTAACACATGATATTGAGCAGGACAGCATGTCTGCTACTAGAAGCCTGCCCATTAAGAAAACGTAAATTCAAAAAAGTGTTTCCGTAACTCAGAAAAAAAAATAGGTAAAAAAAACAGCTAATATGTACACAATCAAGAACTGTCTGATTTTTCAAATAATTTTACTTTGAGATGAGAGATAAATGTGCAACAAAAGAAATCTTTGTAATTAGAAACTATGGTGCCAGTCATTTTTCTTTCCTAAGTGTCTATTTCTCCATTTCACTTTAGTTTAAATTAAGAAGTTATTATCCCCCAGTTAAGTGTTTGTCTTCTGCCGGTCTTCCTCAGGCTGACTAGGTGAAGATCTAGTTTTGTGCTTTAACATAAACCAGTGGAAATGTTTGGGAGAAGCACCACAGCTGGCCATTTTCAACAGCAGCTTCACTGCAGAAAGGAAACTACTGGTCTTATTTGATTTTAGTTGGGGAAGGTAAGCTACCCAGAGGTAAATGACTTCAGTAACTGTTTCTAAATAGAACTAAGGTTC